AACATAGAGGCAAAAATACTCAGCAGAATCCTAGCAAATAGAATAAAGCAAATCATCAAGAAGATTATACACATGACCCGGTAGGATTCATCCCAGGGATGCAAGGATGGTTCAATGTACACAAATCTATGAGTATAATAGACTATACTAAAAGAGCCAAAACTCAAAAAACCAATTGACCTTCTCAATTGATGCCGAAAAAGCTTTTGAAAAAGTCCAAATTAATTCATAATCAAAGCCATACAGAAAATCGGACTATTGATCTCTGCCTCAATCTGACTAAAGCCATCTATGACAGGCCAACAGTCAACATATTTCTAAATGGGGAAAAGCTGAGATATTTTACACTCAAATAAGGTATAAGATAAGGATGTCCTCTATCACCAGCCTTATTCAGTATAGTTCTGTATTCATTAGCTAGAGGCATTAGACATGAGAGATTTAAAGGAATAAGAATACATAAAGAAGAAGTTAAACTATCATTATTTTCAGATGACATAATACTTCACTTGGAAGACCCGAAACACTCCAGCAACAAGCTACTAGAATTAATAAACAAATTCAGCAGCATAGCAGAGTACAAAGTCAATTACCAAAAATCCATAGCATTCCTCTACACAGATAACAAATAAACTGAGAGAGAAATTAGAGAAACAGTACTCTTCACAATAGCATCCCAAAACGGAAATACCTAGGAATTAACCTGACTATCTGACTAAGTGATAATTAATCTGATTAATTGACTAATTATAAAAGGTCTGTAAAATGAAAATTACATTACTGTGAAGAAATATATAGAACAAGATTTTAGAAAATGGAAAGGTATCCCCTGCTGCTGTTTAGGAAGATGAAACATTGTAAAAATAGCCATACATCAAAAATTCTTTCACAGATTTCATACAATCTCAATGATAACACCAACATACCTCACAGATCTTGAGAAAAACATTCCTAAAACTTATTTGGAATTAGAAAAGACCTAGAATTGAAAAGGCAATATTGGGCTGCAAAGGCAAGGAAGAAGGCGTTGAAATTATACTACAAAGCCAGAGTGATAAAATCAGCATGGCATTGACATAAAAAGAGACCAGTGGATCAACGGAACAGAGTAAATGATACAGATGCAAATGCAAGCACACTCAGCCATCTTCACCTTTTCACACAGGCCAAATGCATTCACTGGAAGAAAGATAACCTCTTTAACAAATTGTGCTTGAAAAACTGGCTGTCCACATGCAGAAAAATAAAGTAGACCTGTGTCTATCACCATGCACTCAACTAAAGTCAAAATGGATTAAAGATCTAAACATTAAAACAGAAACACTAAATCCCCAGAAAGAGAAAGTAGGTGGAAATCCTGAAGTGATGGGGATTGACAGACAGTTAGTTCATGAACAAAAATCAAACTGCCCAGAAAATATTACCAAGAATCAACCGCTGGCAATTATTCCTATTGAGAAATTTCTGCTCATCAGATACAATCATCAAAAGGGTGAAATACAACCCACAAATTTGGAAAAAAATATTAACCAATAATCACACAGACAAAGGTCTTCTATGTAGAGTATATAAAGAACTAAAATATATTAGGGCCCCAAAAGTTGAAGACCCTATACAAAATTTGGCTTCTAAGATGAATATTTACTTCTCAGGGGAAGAAATATAAGAGACAAATAATTATATAAAAATATGCTCCATAGCCCTGACTATTTGAAAAATAAAATTTAAAACAAAATTGAGATACCATCTCACCCAAGAATGAATGGCTATCATAAATAAATCAACTAATAAGAAATGCTGGAGAGGCTCTGGGTGAAAAGGAACCCTTGTCCACTGCTTGTGGGAATGCAGACTGGTACAATCACTATGGAAATCACTGTAGAGACTTTTCCAAAAATTAGGATGGGAAATCCCATTCAATTCAGCTGTTCCCTTTCTGAGTATTTTCCCCAAAGAACTTAAAAATTGTACAATAATGTATGTGCACTCATGTTTATAGCAGCGCAATTGGTCATAGCCAAATCTTGCAAACAGCCAAAATACGTATCACCTGAGGATTATATTAAAAATATGTGTTTTTTATACAATGGAATATCAATCTATAAAGACAGACAAACACAAAGCCTTCATAGATAACTGGATGCAACTAGGAGCTATACTCATAAGTGAGTTAAATCTGACCCTCATGTCTAAATATTGCATAATCTTCCCATTGTAAGCACCCAAAAAATTAAAGATGAAAGTTATAACAGACATAGTAAAACAGAAAGAAACAGAGTTTTAGGATTAAACCACAGAGAGGAGAAAAAGGAGAAAAGTGAGATGAAAAGATAGGAGGGAAAATATGCAAGTATGTATTCAGGATGGCTGAGGTGATTGTACTAAAAATTTCCTTCTTTTTTTGAAAATAGGAGTTAATGAGTAGAATTTTCACCTTGACTAACAGTATACTGGTATCTGTGATCTAAGAAACTACATCAAGGACAGAAATATGTAACACAAAAATCATGATTAAATACTTGTCATCTTGGTCTTCAAAACGTGTACCATTTCTAATTTTATATCAATTATTATTATATGCTCTTCGAAGTAAATTTTTTTAAAAAACAAAACAAAAACCCAAGAGGGACAAGCACAAAATTTCCAGCTTTCTGAAAAACAAGCAGTAATATGCCATCATATGTCCAATCTTACATAACTATATGTGTTAATCTGAGCAACAGATTGGTAGATAAAAATAGATAATATATAAGCAAAGTTAAGCAGCTCTTCTTTTCTGAAAATCTTTAACTTACATATTTTGTATGTTACCCTGTTTCTGTCATTATTTCTGATTTTTGTTCTTGCTTTTGTCTTCTACTTTTCAAAGTGAAATAATAAAATTAAATTTAATAAAAAGTAAAATAAAATCAATGCCCAATTTTGCATTGAAATATACTCTCAACAGAATCAAAGAACTGCACATGGTGACCAATTAAGGTGTGAATCAGAAGTAAGTGTTCAAGATTAGCAGTGGAATTATTAAATTGAAAAAGGGAAAGGGGCAGAAGCTGCCTAGATAGCTCAGCAGACTAAAGCAACTACTTAGGCAAGTGCAGGAACCATGGTGCACTCTTGGACAGTTCATGCCCTGCCAGCCCCTCCCCAGGGCCACTGAGCTGGCCACACATTCCAGGCGAAGAGAAGCATGCCTGTAATCCCAGTGCTGAGGACGCTGAAAACAGGAGGATTCCTATGACTCCAAGTTGCGTAGTGAGATCCTGTAACAACCAAATAGAATATGAATATATATATAT